AACTGCTCAGGCAGCTGGTGCCAAGAGGCTCTCTTTACCCTGGAGAAGCAAGACCCAACCTTTGCTACTCTACTAGGGAGTGAGAGGACCAGAATTCTGGCTGCAGGTACAGAGTTTTAAGGTGAAACACAGTCCCAGCCACAGTGATAGAGAAAGGGGAAATGGGTTCCTACAGGAGGGAGGTAAGTTGGAGACTTTCTCTTGGGAGAATTTACTTCCAAATCAAAATAAAATTGCAGCTATGCAAGTCATTAGTGCTATTCTAGTTCTTAATCTCTACGCAGTCTGGTATAGAGCTTGCCATATGTCGGTTTTTATTTGTAGCTATAAGAAAACAATTATTAGTCCTTACTTCTTGGACTTACTCAGCTTCGAGGTTATGAAATCGTTTACTCTGCTATTCATAAATTTTTTCTAAATCTCAGAACTAGCCAAAAGTCTGATTGATATGCTTAGTGTAATAAAATGTATCATTTCTTCATAACTAATTTTAAAAATTTTCTAATTTAATATTTCTTTGGGGAAAAAACTAATGCATTTGTATGGTTCAAAATTTGTAAGAAATAAAAGTGTACAAGGAAAATTGTCACCCTCCTACCCTGTCTCCCTAAGTCAACCAGTTTTATGACTGCAGAGTATTCCTTTATATAGCTATACCAGCCTCACGCTAATACAAACAGTAATATAATGCAAAGGTCATTTGCTCCTGTGCAAGTATTCCTACAGACTCAATTCTGTGAGTGGGATTGTAGGGGCAAAAGGATACTTGACTTGTAATATTGATGGGATATTGCAAACTGCCCTTGAGGAGTTTATACTCTCAGCAGCTAAATATGAGGGGGTTTTTTTCCCATTCTTACTAGCACTGTTTATTTGTTTTTGATGTTTGACAGACTTATGGGTGGAAAATGATACCTCAGTTCACATGAAAATGGGAATTTTCATGTTTGGAGCCATTTATATATTTCCTTTTCTGTGAGCTATTTCTTTCACCTGTTTTTTCTGTTGGGTTTTGGTGTTTTGATATATAAGGGTAGGTATATGGGTACCTGTGTAAGAAGAGAGAAATTAGCCATTTGTGATGTGAGTTGTAAATAATTTTTTTACATTGTATTTGGTGAGTTTTGCCATGCAGCAATTTTTTTTAAAGTGCGGTCTAATTTTTCAGTACCTTTATGACTTATGAGTTTTGTGACACTCTGAGATTATAAACTTTTCAATGTTTTTTTAAAATATCATTGCACTTTCAAATAGAAACTCAATCTGAAATACTCCAAAAAGCTTTTTTACCTCCTCTACCTGCAAAATAGTAAAACAAATTGGTTTTTTCTCCTTAGTTTGTGCCATCTGTTTAGAACTCTGCCTATTCAAATTGTCTCAAACTTTATAACGTGTATATATATTCTAGAAACTGTTTGTTGGTTGTTGGGAGCTCAGAATATGCATGTTCTCATAGAAACAATAATGTGATTGATGAGGTTTCCTGATCTGAGTTAAGGCTACTGTGTTAAAACTGTCTTAGAAAATTCAGGAGCGAAAAGAAATACTTCTGTTTCTCTTGGCAGTGGCGTATAAGGGGTTGGCTTTGCTATCTTTCTGTTCCCTCTTTCCTCTGATCTGCAAAACCTAAGCACGTGACCCTTTTGGGCAGGGTAGGCTTGTCTTACGCCCCTATCTGAGAGATGGTCCACACTCCAACCACCTGTCTTCTCTGTCTTCCTAATGAGCCATGTATTAAACATCTATTTATTTGTACCATCCATAGGCCCAATAATGTCTGTGTACCTTTAGGCATATTTTCTTAGTTAATATACCTACTAGGTATTAAAGTATTCTACTAAGGTGCACCTGACAGTTGCTCATAGTCTCAGAAGGCATATTTTCTTAGTTAATATACTTTAGGCATATTTTCTTAGGCATATTTTCTTAGTTAATATACCTACTAGGTATTAAAGTATTCTACTCACGTGCACCTGACAGTTGCTTATAGTCTCAGAAGCATTTAGAGAAGTTTCTTAACGCAGCTTTCTAATGTTCACTACAGTAAGGGTTGAGAGGGGCCAACCCTAGACTCTCAAGCTAACTCTCCCTTTGTCCTTAATAGAAGTTGCCTGGTGTTTTTCTGCAGGATGATCAGGACCCTCTTTGTTAGAAATGTGTGATTCTAGCAGACTGCCTTCTTGTTGAGTTGTAGCTCAGAGAAGAAACTCATGTGTCCAGATGATAGTAACTCCCCTGAGTGTGTAGTATGAAGAATTAGGCATTCATTCCACCCCTTTCAGACTTTCTTAGGCATCTCTCCATCAGTCACGTATTGGCCAATGGAAAATGATTGCAGTTCTCAACCTCAAGCAGCACCTACTGTGCTGACTGAGGGAGTCTCATAGAGATTTAGCCTGTATAAATGATAAGTAGATGTAGAAGCTTTATTGTTCTGGTCTTCCAGTTCACTTTCTTTTGTGGAGCAAAAGCAGATATATTTTCCTATGCTCAGAAGTTACACTATCAAATTAACCTTGTAGTTCATTGTAGATATAAACTTACAGCAGCACTCTATAATAAAAACTTTCATGTTTTACAGTAGTGTAAATTTGACTGATTGCACTCGGCCCTTCTTACCTCCTCCAGTTACTGCACTAAGTGCTTTCCTTGCAATTTTGCTTTTAGCTACACCACCCACCCACCCCCACCCCCTAGTCTTCTTGAATATAACCCTCAGGTTAGAGAAAACCTGACTCTGAAAGTGTTTTCATGATAGGTACCTAAGATCCAGCAGTGAGAAAGCAGCCATTTCTAAGTTCTTCCAATTTGTTGGAAGGAGAAACAGGATCTTCATTTGTAGTTCAGATCCAAAAGTTCAGTGCTACGTTGAGTAAAGTTGTTATTGAATAACATATTCAGGTAGCTTCATAGCATAAAGTTAGCATAATCAACTCCCTTCAACAGGGTTGGACTAGCAGTATGGGGCCAGAATATGAAAGGCCGGGAAAGCTCAACAAAAATGCTTAGATGCAAAGCAATATGTATAAGAAGGGCCCAGTGTTCTTATATAGAAAAATGATCTTTGTTTCAACAAATGTTATATGGCCACCCCATGGCATATACTTATAGCCAACCACCCCGTGCTTTGAGAATGCTTAGGGAGTGCACACAAACCAGTCCTAAGGGAGAGGAGGCTCCATAGAGGATGAGGCATCTAAACTAAAATCTGAAGGGCTACCAGGAGTTAAGCAGAGCTGGCAGTAAAGGGGCAAGAATAAAGGAACATTCTGATCATGGAAGCAAGAGAGCATGCATAGGAGTTTAGTATGGTGGAAGCACACCCACAGAGTTTTAAGAAGTGAGGAGGGGGAAAGGAGAGGGGTACAGAGATAAGGCTAGAGAGAAATAATAAGGTACCAGGTACAGAGGAACCTTGTGTGTGCCATACTGTTGACTTTATTCTTATGGTAAAAAGGAGCCATTAAAGCACTTTATGCAAAGAAGTGAGCATGTGATAGGTGCTTTGTTTAGAAGGCATCATCTGCCTAATGTGACTATAGAGAATGGATGGGAGTGAGGCAAGAATGGAGGCAAGGAGACCGATTTGGTGGGGGGTGGAGGGTACTTCTGGCAAGCTTCACGTTAAGACCTTTGAAAAGTATAACCCCAGAGTTTTATGCCTTAGCTGTATATTTGACATCTTTGTTACCGTTTGAAACCCTCTAATCTTATGCAGTTGGCACTGATAATGGGTGATTACTCCAAAAAGTAATCATGGGTAATTATGCATAGGTGTCTTAGATATTTTACTTACTTAACTTAAATATACTCAGGATTTAGGGCCAAAGCCTTTTATTTGAGAATGGGGCTGCCAACCAGCATAGTCCTTCAATAAAACCACATTCAATGACCATATCCCATACAATTTCCAATATGTTTCTTTTGAATTTAGCAAGAACTTTACAGTGAGTGCAAAGTTATTCTATGTTGGTTTTTTTACCCCAGGATTTTACAGTTGTCTCACCCATAGTTCAACATCTTTTTTTTTCTTTAAGGTACTCGTCTTTATTGAAATTTTTAAAAACAATCAATTTTCATACAAGTTCAGCGTCTTCTCACATTTATATGTTACTGTTTTATGTAATTGTTAATTTAGTTAATGCATGAGTGCAGCTAGTATAAACAGATGGGAATCAAAACAACTGATTCTTAGTGAAGCCTGAAATCCAACTGATGGAACAGAAAAGAGATGATGTACTAGCCTTGAGCATTTTGCCATTGTCATCAATTGAGCTTTACAGAGGAAAGAGTAATGTTAAAGTAAAATAATAAGACAGTTAAATGGACGTCAGTTGAAGAGTTTTTATCGCAGTATAGTTGTGTGGAATTTGAGGTTCTGGGAATAGCAAAAAGACTGTAGATTATGAAGTCAGACTAGGTTTAACTCTGGCTCTGCCTCTTACTTGCTGTGTGAACTTGGACATGTTATACAATTTTTCTGTGCTTTATATTCCTTAGGAATAAAAGGAGTATAATAGTCTCATCCTTAGGGTTGTTATGTAGATTAAATAAGATGATAGATATTAAATGTCTCACATGTACATTAATGGTTTTTCTTTGCCACCAACACCCTGCACGGTAGTAAACTATTAGTGTTCTGAAAGTCAGACCCACTTATAGTGTAGCTGGCCTATTTTGTGCATCATTTGCAATGACTGATAACATGAGGAAGAAACAGTAAGCCTGACCTCTGAGTTAAAGACCTCCAGTAGAGGTGTCACCTCCTCCCTGAGAATGAGAGATCACCAGGAAAGTATGCCTCAGGATCTAGGAATTAGGAAAGCTTTATCATCATCTAGTGATAAGTTTTTGTGATAAAGAAAAAACTCTAAAACTTAAAGAGGGAAGAAAAACTGCCCAGACACAGACTTTTAGCTTGAAAGGAGCTTTCTGTGATTTGTCTTTATCAATATTATTGAAGTAGATGTTGATACTTACGAAATATTTCTTTCTAACAGGTTGTAAAATTAAAGCGCTGAGAGCCAAGACAAACACGTATATCAAGACACCTGTTCGTGGTGAAGAGCCCATTTTTGTTGTCACTGGACGGAAAGAAGATGTTGCCATGGCCAAAAGAGAAATCCTCTCAGCTGCAGAGCACTTCTCCATGATTCGTGCATCTCGAAACAAAAATGGCCCTGCCCTGGGAGGGTTGTCGTGCAGTCCTAATCTGCCTGGTCAGACCACCGTTCAAGTCAGGGTCCCCTATCGTGTGGTAGGATTAGTTGTTGGACCCAAAGGAGCAACAATTAAAAGAATTCAGCAGCAGACCCACACATACATAGTAACTCCAAGCAGAGATAAGGAGCCGGTCTTTGAAGTGACAGGGATGCCCGAGAATGTTGACCGAGCACGAGAAGAAATAGAAATGCATATTGCCATGCGTACAGGAAACTACATTGAGCTCAATGAAGAGAATGATTTCCATTACAACGGTACTGATGTAAGCTTTGAAGCTGGCGCGCTCGGCTCTGCGTGGCTCTCCTCCAGTGCAGTTCCTCCTAGCCGCGCCAGAATGGTCTCCAGTTATCGAAATGATAGTTCCAGCTCTCTGGGAAGTGGTTCCACAGATTCCTACTTTGGAAGCAATAGGCTGGCAGACTTTAGTCCAACAAGCCCTTTTAGCACAGGAAACTTTTGGTTTGGAGATACACTACCTTCTGTAGGCTCAGAAGATCTTGCGGTTGATTCTCCTGCCTTTGACTCTTTACCAACATCCGCTCAAACTATCTGGACTCCGTTTGAACCAGTTAACCCGCTCTCTGGCTTTGGGAGTGATCCTCCTGCTAACATGAAGACTCAGCGCAGAGGAAGTCAGCCGTCTACTCCTCGTCTGTCTCCTACATTTCCGGAGAGCATTGAACACCCACTTGCTCGGAGGGTTAGGAGCGACCCACCTAGTACAGGCAGCCATGTTGGCCTTCCAATATACATCCCTGCTTTTTCTAATGGTACCAATAGTTACTCCTCTTCCAATGGTGGTTCCACCTCTAGCTCACCGCCAGAATCAAGACGAAAGCACGACTGTGTGATTTGCTTTGAGAATGAAGTTATTGCTGCCCTAGTTCCATGTGGCCACAACCTCTTCTGCATGGAATGTGCCAACAAGATCTGTGAAAAGAGAACGCCATCATGTCCAGTTTGCCAGACAGCTGTTACTCAGGCAATCCAAATTCACTCTTAACTATATATATATATACATAAATACTATATCTCTATATGGACTTATAAAGGCATGGGTATAATGGTACCCCCAGTAAACTTCCTAATGAATTCTTATGACTGTTATCAGGCTTTATTGGGATTAGGCTAAAGTTGTTAGTAAACTTATAAAAGGCTGCTGTGGTAACACTAAACCTAAGTGGTCTCTTGTCTATTAGTTTGGTTTGAATTATTAATACTATCCTATAGACCCAGAGACATAGCTTGTATAAGAATTGCTAAAGCTGACGTTCAACTCGGCTGAGTGAAGATAATCGTAGGTTGTGTGAACCTATGAGAAAAGTGTATACGTCTAAGATTTCAGAACGATGGGTCCCAGAGCCTAACCACATTAAGAGTTTATGGAGGGTACTTGGCATTACAGATGATTCAGACACTTCCAGTGCTGCCTTCTTTACACTGCCAGTTTTCACAAAATAGGTTTGTTTGTTTTTTATTTCACAACAACTTATGCCTAATTCTGCAGGATTGCAAGTAACTTTTTAATGCATTGTGATGACTTACTGGTAATGATAGGGGCTGATGGCGCTTTACTCGATCACTGGTTATAATTTGGGACAAAAACTGCTACATTGACCTTCATCTCGCCCAGAGTGCTCATGGCTGGTATGATCAGTGGATCAGGAATGCATTTGTGTCGATTGTGAATTCATACCCATTGCCTCCCTTGGTGAGTGTGGAAATGGCCACCTGGGTTTTTCCATTTCAGGAAGGGCTTTGGGATGCACCTATATTGGCTAATAATTGAGGATACAAACATTCCATTCATTAGTCTGATCAAGCTATTGATTAATTTTTAGACTATAGGTCAAAATGTGAAACATTTTATGTTCAATCCATATTCGTCTTGCACATTATAAATATATTTTTATTTTTTAGTAATTTAGGGGAGGGGGGAGGGAGAGAGGGATAATAACACCCTTAGCATAATTCACAAAAGCAGCTGTGATGACCTCCAATCAGTTTACTTCATTTCAAAACTTATTTCCAATCAAAAGGAAAGATTTCTTTAAGATACACTTTTTACATTTCACCTGTGGATGTCTGTGACTTCATCCTCAGTATGTTCCCAAACCTGTGCTGGCATTGAATGGACAGAACATTATACTGGTGGGGTTTTCTACTAATTATTTTTTGAAGCGTTATTTTCCCAACACAAAGAGCTTTTTTTCTCACTATAACAAAAATTGAAATCCTATGTGTATTGAATAGTAAATAGACAAATTTTATTTTTTATTTCCACTTGAAAAGTTACATTTCGTATAAAAGTTTACAAATAACGGTTTTTATTTTGATTTTTTCAGTATAAAAAATTGCCTTGATGGCATATTATGATGTAATGCTAATTGCTTGTAGGATAGTTATATGTCAGTATTGAAACCTAATCTTTAGCTGCCATCTTGTAGATACAAACGAATGTTCACCAAGCATGTATTTTGTATTTTGTTGCATTGTACACTGCAACTAATAAGCCAAGGAATCGACATATATTAGGTGCGTGTACTGTTTCTAAAAACCACAAACTAAGAATGATAAATTATCAATATAGTTTAGTATTTGCTAATTTTACTACACTCTTTTGTTATGTATATGTAGGGAAGTCATAGGGATTATAAATTCAATTTGAGTAAAGTTTAAAACCATATATTTTATGATAAAGGGCCTTTAACTTAAGATGGCCAAAGCACTGATATTATATATTTGCTGTAAAGAGAATTATAAGAGTTTTATTTTTCTGATATTAAAAGTTACTTAATAAAGACTTGTTTCCATTAACTTGAATGTATTCTCCTTGGTGTTTTTCATGTAATCATTAGTTTAGACTGGGAGACTGCTGTTTGCCAGAATTGAAAATTTCCTTTTACAGTGTTTCCCCTCCTCAGCCAGTGACCCTGTTGCTTATGCTCCTATCCGAATTTAGCTTTTTTCTTTAAATAAGTGTCACATTAGGTAAAACTAGAGATGTGGCTAGTTTCAGATTGTATAGTTAGTTGCATGTTTATATAGTTGACCACAAATAACCACTATTAACCTAATTGTAAATAAAATAGTGAATGATTTATACATATTAATGTTAACTAAAATCCTGAACCCAACTTAGACTTTACTCAGTTTCCATCCTTTGTTACAGATTTTTGTCTTTCTATCACTAAAACTATAAAACTAATTTTTTTCTAATATGAAGGTACAAGTTTTAAACTTTTAGTTCCTAAGTACCTTCGGAAAGGTTTTGTGGTTGATAAAAATATTACTCCGTTAATGAAATTGACTTGATGCTAACTGGAATAAATTGTTGCCGTTTGTTAAAAAGCAAGAATAAAGACAGTTCTAGATTATTTTAATAAAACCAAAATTCTATTCTTAATACTTAGAGGTGTTAGCCATAGAAGTCTTTTCATCGTAAGTTTTGGACAAATTCTCAGGCTGTGCTAGACGACTCTGGAATATATAGATTTGATGGGCAGGATCGTTGCCCTGTAGAATCATTTTACTAGTTTCAGGATTAGCCTTCAGAAGTATGAAAGTTAAATTATTTGTGTTTTAGTATTTATACAATTCCAGCATAGATTGAATGAATGGTGAATATGAATTTAACCTTTACCTAATATAAGGTCAGAATCTTTGAGGGGATCTTGAAAAACAATCTGCTTTGGAGGCTTTCCTTGCCAGAAGAAGCCAAAACTTTGTCTGAAAGTAATGTTAGTAAAACTGATAAGCACTTATCCAAGGTTTCCGTCTGAATCCGCCTTTCCTCACATGCCCACATTCATTTTCTTGTTTAAGGACATACTGTGGGAGAGGCTCCAGGAACCCCATGGACCTGTGTTACCAGGGAATTGCTGCACCACACTGGATAATCTGCAGTGTGGTTAATCCAGAATTGGACAAACCTATTGAGAAGAACTTGACATTCCATTCACACAAACTTGGAGGCTAGATGCTAAACTGAAAACATTTGGATCAGCTAGCAGCTTAGTTACTATAATGATACGTAATTCTGTAAAGGATTTTATCAAAAGAATCCCCTTGCAAAGTAGGTTTTTAGCAAGAGTGAAAAAGGCTAGAATAATTAGGCTTAGAAAATAGATACAGAATATTGCTCAGCCATAAAAAGGAACAAAATTGTGCCATTTGCAGAGACGTGGATGGACCTAGAGACTGTCATACAGAATGAAGTAAAGTCAGAAAGAAAAATATATTAATGCCTATATGTGGAATCTAAAACAATGGTATAGATGAACTTACTTGCAAAGGAGAAATAGAGACAGACATAGAGAACAAACGTATGGATACCAAGGGGGGGAGTGGGGGTGGAATAGATTGGGATTGACATATATACACTACTGTGTATAAAGCATAGCTAATGAGAACCGACTGTATAGCACAGGGACCTCTACTCACTGCTCTGTAGTGACCTAAATGGGAAGGAAATCCAAGGAAGAGGGAACGTATGTATACGTGTAGCTGATTCACTTTGCTGTACAGCGGAAACTAATGCATCGTTATAAAGCAACTATGCTCCGATGTAAAAAAAAGGTACAGGAATGTTATTATACTTCAGATTATTCTTTCCAGTGGATGTGTTAGCATAAAAACAAGACACTGGTTCTCACTCTGCTACCAACCTCCCCTCCCTTAAATTTCTGCTTTTCTCATTCCAAAACTTTTTATAAATAATGCAGGTTAGGAATATTTATAATACAGGCATACTTCGGAAATGTGAGTTCAGTTCAAGACCACCACATATGTTATGTTTACACTGTACTGTTGTCTATTAAGTGTGTAATAGCATTGTGTCGAAGGAACAATGTACATACCTTAATTTTAAAATGCTTCATTGCTAAAAAATGCTAATCATCATCTGAGCCTTCAGTGGGTCATAATCTTTTTGCTGGTGCTGGAGGGTCTTGCCTCTATGTTGATGGCTGCCGACTGATCAAGGTGGTGGTTACTGAAGATTGGGGCAGCTGTGGCAATTTCTTAAAATAACAGAGTTTGCCACATCAATTGACTCTTCTTTTCATGCAAGATTTCTCTGCAGCGTGCAGTGCTGTATAATAGCATTTTACCTACAGTAGAACTTCTTTCAAATTTGGAGTCAGTCCTCTCAAACCCCATGCTGCTTTATCAACTAAGTTTATGTCATATTCTAAATCCTTTGTTGTCATTTCAGCAGTCTTCACAACATCTTCACCAGGAGTAGATTCCATCTCAAGAGACCTTTTTATTTGCTCATCCATAAGAAGCAACTCCTCCATTACAGTTTTATCATGAGACGGCAGCCATTCAGTCCCATCTTCAGGCTCCACTTCTAATTCTACCTCTCTTGCTGTTTCCACCACATCTGCAGGTGCTTCCTCCACTAAAGTCTTGAGCCCCTCAGAGTCATCCGTGAGGGTTGGAATCAACTTCTTCCAGACTCCTGTTAATGTTGGTATTTTGACCTCTTCCCATGAATCGTGAATGTTTTTAATGGCATCTAGAACCCTTTCCAGGTTTTCAATCGACTTTGCCCAGATCCATCAGAGGAATCACTATCCATGGCAGCTATAGCCTTGACAAAATGTTTATTAAAACATAAGACTTGGGCTTGCCTGGTGGCGCAGTGGATGAGAGTCCACCTGCCGATGCAGGGGACACGGGTTTGTGCCCTGGTCCGGGAAGATCCCACATGCTGCGGAGCGGCTGGGCCCGTGGGCCGTGGCTGCTAAGCCTGCGCGTCCCGAGACTGCTCCGCAACGGGAGAGGCCACAGCAGTGAGAGGCCCGCGTACCGCGATCCAAGGGCTGCAGAAAGAATGTTGTGTTAATCTCATTATACATCTCCATCAGAGCTCCTGGGTGACCAGGTGCATTGTCAATGAGCAGTAATATTTTGAAAGGAATCTTTTTCTGAGCTGTAGATCTCAATGGTGGGCTTAAAATATTCAGTAAACCATTCTGTAAATAGATGTGCTACCAT